TTCATATACATATTTCTATTTAACCACCCAATAACCCTTCAAGGTAGGTATCAATAGTCCCATTTAGAAGATATAAAAAGTGAATGTCTGATAATAGGGTTATATGCACTCTTCATACACTTAGGTGTTCCTGGCCATGCATACATACATCTCTTTAATGTTGTAATTTTTTTCTCTTTATCCACTCATATTGCCAGAAAAAGACCATGGTCTTTCCCTCTTCTGCATTCACTTTCTGACAAAAATTCATGCTGTCATTCAGCAGAAATCCTAGCCCTGGCATCTGAACACCATGTAATTTCATCCATATCAGTAACTAAATGATCATATCAGTAATCCACCCACCACTCTGATAACAAAGGCTTTCTCTCTTGGTCACTCCCATCACTCCTAGATGTCTCCTTTTTTAATACAGTAAAGAGCCTTTCCCCTAGGAGGCACCTCAGGTTCACATGCTCCATCAGTTCACCAGCCGTGTCCAGCAAGCCTTAATCCCAATTTATGTGCAAACTTGATCAGACCAAAGGATCATCTGGGTTCAGCGTGTCCAAATTTCATGGACTGAAACCAAGCACTATGAGTCAGAGAATAAAGGCCAAAACCAGGAAACTAGGTCAGATTGCAGCAATTGTCAGTCTGCAGGTATAAGCATGGCCAAACCCAGAAAGCCATACCCTAATGAAGGCAAGAGTAAGATTCAAGTATGCAGTCAGAGATTGTGGCCAAATTCCTACCTGGGTAGAAGGAGTCACAGGGGAATCGTTTTTTAAAATTTTTTATTTGTACTTTTTAGTTATACATGACAGTAAAATATATTTTGACGTATTATACATATATGCAGTATAACTTCCCCTCCTTGATGTGGAGTTACACTAGTCATGTATTCATATATGAACATAAGAAAGTTATGTCTGATTTATTCTGCTATCTATCCTATTCCCATCCCCCATCCCTTCCCTTCATTTCCCCTTATCTAATCCAGTGAACTTTTATTCTCCCCCTTCCCCTTATTGTGTGTTAGCATTCTCATATCAGAGAGAACTTTGTATTTTGGGATTCAACTTATTTCACTTAGTATAATAGTCTCCAGTTCCATACATTTACTGGCATATATATATATATATATATATATATATATATATATATATATATATATATATATATGTTTTCTTTATCCATTTATCTGTTCAAGCACACCTAGGTTGGTTCCCATTGCTCAGCTATAGTGAATTGAGGTGCTATAAACATTGCTGAAACAGTGTCACATAGTACACTGATTTTAAGTTTTTGGGTATATGCTGAGGAGTGGGATTAATTTTTCAAATGGTGGTTCCATTCCAAGTTTTCTGAGTAATATCCATACTGTTTTCCAGAGTAGTTGCACCAATTTGTAGTCCCACCAGTGATGTATGAGGTACCTTTTTCCTGCATCCTCACCAACATTTATTATTACTTGTATTCTTTTAAAATTTATTTATTTATTTTAATTAAGTATATATGGTAGCAGAATGCATTTTGATTCAATGTACACAATTTCAGTGCAACTTTTCATTTCTCTGCTTGTACACAATGTAGCATCCCACCATATGTGCAGTCATACATGTACCTAGGGTAATGATGTCTATATCATTCCACCATCTTTCCTGCCCCCATGGTCCCTCCCAACTGCTCCCTCCCCTTTGCCCAGTCAAAGTGCCTCCACTTTTCCCATGCCCCCCATTATGGATCAACATACACTTATCAGAGAGAACATTTGGCCTTTGTTTTGGGGGGATTGGCTTACTTTGCTCAGCATGATATTCTCCAACTCCATCCATTTACCTGCAAATGCCATGATTTTATTCTCTTTTAATGCTGAGTAATATTCCTTTGTGTGTATATATACCACAGTTTCTTTATCCACTTATTTATTGAAGGGCATCTATGATGGTTCCACAGGTTAGCTATTGTGAATTGAGCTGTTAAGAACATTGATGTGGTTGCATTACTAAAGTATGCTTACTTGTATTTTTGATGATTGCCATTCTGACTGTTGAATGACATGAAATCTCAGTCTAGTTTTTTTTTGTTTTTTGTTTGTTTGTTTGTTTTTTAGTTATAGATAGACACAATACCTTTGTTTTATTTATTTATATTTATGTGGTGCTAAGGATCAAACCCAGTGCCTTACATATGCTGGGCAAGCATTCTACCACTAAGCCACAATCCCAGCCCTGAAATCTCAATTGCTACATATGTTGAAAAGTTTTTCATGTGTTTGTTGATCAATTTTACTTCTTCTGTGAAGTGTAGATTCAGTTCCTTAACCCATTTATTGATTGGGTTATTTGTATTTTTGGTGTTATGTTTTTTGAGTTACTTATTTATCCTGGAGATTAATGCTCTATGTGAAGTGCAGGTGGCAAAGATTTTCTCCCATTCTGTGGGCTCTTTCTTCATATTTTTTTATTGTTTCCTTTGCTATGAAGAAGCTTTTTAGTTTGATACCATCCAATTTATTGATTCTTGATTTTACTTCTTGCTCTTTAGGAGTCTTGTTGAGGAATTTGATTCCTAAGCCAACATGATGTAGATTTAGGCTTATTTTTTCTTCTACTAGGCACAGGGTCTCTGTTCTTGTGCCTAAGACCTTGATCCACTCTGAGTTGAGTTTTGCGCAAAGTGAGAGATAGGAGTCTAATTTCATTTTGCTGCTTATGGATTTCCAGTTTTTCCAGCACCATTTGTTGAAGAGACTATCTGTTCTCCAATGTATGTTTATGGTACCTTTGTCTAATATGAAATAACTGTATTTATGTGGGTATGTGTGTTTGTGTCTTCTATTCTGTACCATTGGTCTTCATGTCTGTCTTGGTGCCAATACAATACTGGTTTTGTTACTATAGCCCTGTACTATAATTTAAGGTCTGGTACTATGATGCCTCCTGCTTCACTTTTCTTGCTGAGGACTGGTTTGGTTATTCTGGCTTACAGGGGAATCTTAACCCAACCCAGTATACTTTTGTTAAACTAAAGAAACTTGAAAATGAAGACAATCTTTTTAGTTCTAAGACAATATCCAGAGGATGTAATTATAGTGATTTTCCAAAATTTTAAATCCATGTTACATTATATATATTTAAAAATGCATTCAGGGACTAGGGTTGTTGCTCAGTGGTATAGTGGTTGCCTAGCATGTGTGAGGCACTGGGTTCCAATTTTCAGCACAACATAAAAATAAATAAAGGTATTTTGTCTATGTACAACTGAAAAAATTTAAAAAGAAATATCTTTTAAAAAATAAAAAATGCATTCATATAAATTCTTTCAAAGAAACTCATTTCCAATAAATTTGAGAAGCTGGTTGACATATTGCTTAAGGAGTCCATACTTTCATGTTGGATAGTCTAGGTTCAAATTCTAGCTCTACCATTTTACTTACCTGTGTGACCTTGTTGTACAAGTTTCTTCAAATCTCCCATGCCTCAGAGTGCTGTTGTAAACAAATAGATTAGTATCCATAAAACTTTCAAAGTTCTGCATGGTACATAGGAAATTCTGAGTAATTCTGGACTTCAGATGAAAAGAGAATGCCTCAGTTTGAAAGAAAGATGTGAATGGGCCCATACCCACCTTTCCTTCAGAGCCCCACTCCTTCTCTGAGCTCAGAGCATGGCAGCCTCCATAGAGGTTTATAGAATCCTTATGGTTTTCAGAGCACACTTCTAAATCAGTGCTCTAATACAACTCCCATCCATTTAGTCCAAGAGTCCCCTCTACCTGTACCCATGTAAGATATGGGCCTCTGTACTCTGTTTAACACTTTCAGCAATGGTGCATACATTATTTTTTAAAACTAGTAATCTCTTTAAAACTTTCAAACTATCTCAGATATTAAAGATGCAAAGTCTTTTACCAATTGAAGTTAGAAGTACCATTTATGCAAGATGCAACAGAATGTCACAGGAGGAGCAGTGTCCTTGATGCTGGCAGACCTGAGACGTAACCTCTGCCACCTCTTAACTGTATGACATTGGGCAAGTGACTTACCTTCAAATATCTTCATTTGCTCATACTGAAAACAGAAATAATCTTAATGTAGCTGGGCATGGTGCAGTATACCTCTAATCCCAGTGGCTCAGAAGGTTGAGGCAGGAGAATCAGAAGTTCACAGCCAGCCTCAGCAACTTAGCAAGGCCCTAAGCAACTCAGTGAAACCGTCTCTAAATAAAATACAAAATAGGGCTGGGGATGTAGCTCAGTTATTAAATGCCCCTGGGTTCAGTCCCCTAAGACCAAAAAATCGTAATAATGATCTTTATATATAACCCACAGGTTTGAGGTGAAGATTAAATTTAGTATGATGCATGGAGTGCCTGGCACATAGTAAGCACTTGAAAAACTTATATCTTAATTGGTTAGTGTCACAGGAGATTCTTGACCAACACAAACTGAAGGATAATTATTGAATCAAAGAAAATTGACAAATTAAGAGAATATAGTAATTTTCAAAAATTTTGATCCATATCATATCACTTCATTCACATGAATTCCTTCAAACACACTCTGTATTTCTAATAGAGAAGATGGTGGGCATACTGCTTATTGAATACAGGCAGTCATGCCAAACAGCTCTTGGCTTAAATCCTAACTGCACTCTTTACCCTATCTGTATAATGTTGGAGAAGTTTCTTCACTTCACCATGTCTCAGTATTTTTTACCCCATATGTAAAATGGGGATGAAAATACTCATATCTCATGGCACTGTTGGCACTGTTGTGATGATTAAAATTAATGAAGACACAGGAAGTTTCTAAAACTGTGTTTAGTAAATGCTCAATAACTCTGTCAGAGATGGGGACCCCATTACATGAAAAATGTTACCAACCTATCTATACTGGTGAGTATCATGGGAAGTTCCAAGGATTCGAGAGACAACAGGGTATAGCAGAAAGCAGTTGTCATATATATATATATATATATAGAGAGAGAGAGAGAGAGAGAGACACAATACCTTTATTTTATTTTATGTGGTGCTGAGGATCAAACACATTTTCTCATCATGCTGGGCAAGTGCTCTACCTCTGAGCCACAACCCAAACCCAGCAGTTGTCTTTTAGTAAACTTATTGCTACAATTTTTAGCTGTACAATCTTGAAGAGGTCATTCAGCCTATCCGAGCTTCTGTTCCCCATCTGAAAAATGAAAATAAAATCATCATCTAAAGCATATAGTTCTACTGCGGATTGAATTATGTCTCCCTGCTAAATTCATATGTTGGAGGACTATACTCCAATGTGACTATCTGGGGAGAGGATCTTTAGAAGATAATTAAGGTTAAGTCAGATAATAAGCAGTTGATCTGATAGAACTGTGGCATTATAAGAAGAGAAAGTTATTGTCCTTTCCATCCCCCTCCCCACACACAGGCACCTAGGAAAGGCTTTTTGAGCACACAACTAGAAAGAAGCCCTCTGTAAGCCAGGAAAATAGATCTCACCAGAAACTGAATTGTTTGGCTGCTTAGACTTCCCAGCCTCCATAACTGTGAGAAAATAAATTTCTGTTGATTAAGCCACCCAGTTTAGAGTGTTTTGTTATGGCAGGCTCAGTAGACTAATACAGTTGCCATAAGGATTAAATGAGGCAATTTGTATAAATGTGTGGCACAAAGCCAGAACCCCAAAAGTAATTATTTTTATTCTTATTTTTGTCCTAAACAGCTATGGAAAGCAAAACAAATTCTTTTTCTGAATAAAGTTGGTGAGAAAATTAAAGATAGCATGGAGGACCTACCACAGCACTTTGGTAGACAGATTCAGTATTTTCCTCTTAATTTAAAATCACTGCATGTACCTGCTTCTTAACTACTATGTAAACTCCCTCATCATAAGAGATCATGTTTTAGTCCTTTCTATATTCCCATTCTATAGTCCCAAAATACCATAGATGTTAGGCACAAACATTAGGTGAATAAATAAATGGATACACAGCCATACCTATTAGGTTTTGGAAGGCTTCTGGTCAGACAGCTTGCTTCTCTCATGTAGAAAACTAAGGGTGATCTGATCTTACCCTAGGCTCTCTAGCTGACATGAAGCTTGCTGTCCCCCAGCCACAGAAAACAGAATGCCTGTGACACTGAGCAGAGAACAGCCAATTATAATTGCCAGGAGCCTTTTGCAACTGACTTTGAGCTTTCTGCATATGGAGGCCTAAAATTTGCAACTTTTGTCACTTACTTGAAGATATAACATGCCCCTATGCAGAAAATTTCCAAACAATGGTAAAAGATCATATTAGTTCATTGCTAACTTTGCAAGGTAGGTCTTGGATTTATCATATTTACCATCTTAATCTGTTACTTTGAGTAAAATGTCTGTAGCTGTTTTTCACAGATCTGTCTCAGAGCTGGTGGGCAACTTATTAGGAATGATTGCACCAAATGATTTTAAAAATCTTTTGGAAGAGCAGAAGCCAACTGAGACACTTATTATTTGTATATGTGTATAGTTAAATTATTCTTCTTTCTGTGAAGCAAAGTTAGGTTTGGAATGGCAGGTAATAATAAAGTTGTAGCAACTGAACTTGATAACATAATGCAAATCTTTTAAAAACGGAACTTATTTGTAATAAAGCAGACATTTCACAACATTTCAGAAAAAATACACCAGAACTCAAGGGGCACAAGAGAAGGAGGGAGGGAAAAAAAGGTGGAAAAGATGAGGCAAAAAATAGGAGAGAGTGAGACAGAGAAAGAAGCAGATAAGGAGGAAGGGGAGGGGAAAGAAAATGATAGAGGGAGGAAGAGAGAGAGAGAAGGAAAGAGGAAGGGAAGGAAAGTGGGAAAGAAGAGGGTTAGAGGGAGGGAGAGATGGGCTAGGGTGTGGGGAGAGATCATTAGTATGGCAACTGTAGTTTCATAAGAAAAGCTGTCCATTTCTAGAAGAAATATGATGTATGACCTGGATAATGAATGTTTTTAACTAACAGTAAGAAGCAGATTTTACCAGAGCCATTCAAATTCTTCTGCTGGGTTTCCCATGTAATCCATGACAAATGTGTAAGTATGTAATAACATAAATAACAACAGCCACAGCTAACATTTATCAAATGCTTATTACATGCTAAGCATTTCACAAAAGTTAGCACATTTAATTCTCACAACAACCTTATGAGATATGTACTACCATCTCCAGTTTGCAGAAAGGGAAATTGAGGCTCAAGGAGGTTGTATAAAGGATCCAAAGTCAAACAGTTTAGGAGCAGAGCCCTGATTTGAACCCTTATTTGGCAACACAAAAGGAACAGTATATTATATTGCTTCTCACCTCATGTACTGATAGAGCTGAGGTTAGGAGTAGTTTTTGTCTGCTTTCCTCCATTCTGACAGTGATTTTATAAATAGATCAGGCTTTTCTTTTTTACATTTGAAAAGATGCAGCCTCTTCAGTTTGCAGACCGTTTTGATAAGCTTGGATTATACCTTTGTCCATTTCCATTAAGTATGTGGAGGTGGGGAAAGGGGGGAAGATGGAGGGCAAAACAAGGTTGTCAGAAACTGGTTTGGGTGCACAGCTTTGTGACTGGGTGCTGCACCACACATCTCTTTCTGTTCCACATGCTTGTTTTATACAGACCCCAAAAAAACAGGGCCTGCAATAGGGAGAGCAGAGGCTAAAATTTCCTGGGAGCACCTGATGCCTGCCCAATCGGAAAACAGATGGGAGATTGGGATTTAGGGCTGAATCTGTGGCTACTTCCAGCCCTTCCAGGTAAGAACCCTCCGTTTATATAAGAGCTTGTTCCAATGAAGGGTGCTGGCTCCTCCTGCAGGCTTGTCTTGGGAATGACCTCCGTTTTCGTTTCTGCCTCTCTCTATTCTTCCATCTGGGATGGAAAGATCCACCGCAGGCAGTCACCCTCACCCTCCCATTCATGGCTCCCTCCAGGGGCAGAAGAAAGAATCACTGAGGCAAGGGCCTGCCCCCCTTCTGCTCTTGGCCAATTACTCTGAGCCTAAGCAGCAACCCTGTTGGAGAGAGGTTTGATGAACTATTCATCACACTCCTAAATAATTCATTTCCCTTTGAGATCGAGCAGCCCACAAGGAGCTGTGAGGTTTTCTTAAGTTGACACCTTTTGAGAGATGAAAAATAAAGCAAAATCTCCCTTTAAGAGAAACCACAGTTGCTTTATATGCTTTTTCCTGCATCTCTCTTTCCATGGTATGGGGCTCTTGTGCTCTGCCCCATTCCTTGTGTTTGGTCTATTATTTTCTTTGCTTTTTGTTATTCAGAAAACTCCACTTTGTAGGATCTGCTGTGCAGACTCTCCCAGCATACCTTATCTTCCCTGGTCCCATGAGCTTCAGTGTACTACAACATACTTATCTTTAGGGTATAGGAGCAAAAGAGCAGCACAAGCCTTTGTGTGTAGTGTGTGTGGGGGGGGGGATTATGTCAAATGAGATGCACTCGGAACATTTCAGAGAGTTCAAGATCTCCCCTTTTGTTCTAACTTTGGCTTCCCTGACAAGGCTTCACTGCTTGCCATTCTGCAAACACCCTTTCTCCCCCTTTCCTGATATTTTTTTAGTGAAATTTCCTCAGCGCTCCCCTCTGGGCCAGCTAGGGCCAAACACATTGCATTATATGAAGCCTCTTTGCCTCTATCCCAGCCACCCCCATACTCCACATACCCGTTTCATATACAGAAAGCAGACAACAGGGGACTGTGAAAGATCACAGGCTCAGACTAATTATCTTCACTGGTGTTGGGCCTTGATTCCTCCTGCTGACCTTATAGCTCTGGGGCTCTGTCTGCACCCTGGCAATGATACGTGCCCCTCCCCATCTACCATACTGCACAGACAATGGAACCGAGGATTGCTGAGCAGAAATCCCCATGCCCCCACCCACACTGACCTTTGCCTGGTGTCTTTCTTATATCTCCTATCTGCAAATCTTTTAAAGAACACAACAGGTTCAGAAGCAGAGTTAATAAAAAGGGTTTTGGTAAAACAATTGAAAGGACACATGCCTCCAAATAGTTTAGCCTTCAAATTCACCCCGCTTCGACAAAGCATCACACAAGAAAATAAATACAATTAGAAATTGTGCTTACTTAACAAGCAGAACTCCTCATTGATCAAGGTGAGCAAGCATGTAATTTGAGGTATTCCCCCCGTTGAAAAAATATAATGAGGAAATCCAGATTTCTAAATCGCTTTCTTTTTAGAGCCATTTGTTGTATTTCATTTCAAAAATGCTTCAACAATGCTTTGTTTCTGTATTTTTTTAAGACCAGGATTTAATTAGCAAAGTTGGTTGGTATACAACAATTTTCAAAAAGCTAGAGATCTAAAAGCACTTAGGAGTACAGAGTATTGTTAGGGACTAAAGCTGTAGCTCAGTGGTAGAACACTTGCCTAGGGTGTGTGAAGCCCTGGGTTCAAGCCCCACCCCTGAAAAACAAACAAACAAACAGGGCACAGAGTATCATCAAGTATCCCAGGACTAGACTGTAGCTTAGGGTACACTATGAGCATATATAGAAAATTCTGATGATTGAAAAGTCTATTACCACCTCAATGATACAATTATACTCCAGCTCCAAAGTAAGGATATAATTTCACAGCAGCACAGAAGGATCAACAGAGGTTTAACTAATAAAAGATTTTACTTGTAATGGTCAATTTTTTTTAACTTGACAGGGCCACAGTGTACCCAAACATTTGGTCAAACATTATTCTGGGTATGTCATTCTAGGATGAGATTTATGTTTGAACTGATAGACCTGGAAAAGCAAATGGACCTCCCCAATATGAGTGCCCCATCCAATTACTTGAAGGTCTGAATATAACATAAAGCCTGCCCCTCCAATAAGAGGGGATTCATCCTGGCAGACCTCTTGCAGGTCTGGATATCAGTCCTGTTCTTGCCTTTGGATATGAACTAAAGCATCAACTTTTCCCAAGTATGGAACCTCCTGGCTTTCAGACTGGAACTTATGCTATTGGTTCTCCTGATCTACAGCCTCTAGCTTGCTAAGTGAAGATCTTGGTGTTTCTTAATTTTCATGATCATATGAGTCAACATGAGTCAACTACTTATTACACACACACACACACACACACACAATCTCCTATTAGTTTTGTTTCTCTAGTTAATGCTAACAAATATAGTACCTAAGT